GTCGTGTTTATTGTTGTTGAAAATTATTTGAAAGAATCAAATCAAACTAGTTTATTCAAAGACGGCAAATCAACTACAAAATGGTACTCCGGTTTCATGAATAAATATCGTAATGAAATTTACCCAAGGAAAAGTAAGCGGCATGCAAACTATTAAAGCTGTGACCACACAGCCAGCTACAATTGACAATTGGTTTGAGCAATTTAGCAGCAGCATATAATAAACATAATTTAGGCGAGAAGCCGATTCAAATATTCAACTGTGATGAGTCTGGTTTGCAATTTGATCAAGGAAAGTCGAAATTGACACCAATTCTAAATAAAAGGTGAGACAGTAGAGCGACCAGCTAATTATAATATGACTTCAGCAGATTCCATAGCTTACGATAAAGTTGAACAAGCATAAAAAAAAAAATAAAAAATTCGATAAACAAGCTGCAAAGAAATTGACTAGAGAATAAAAAAAAATTACCACTGTTACTCAAAAAGCAGAAAATGCACAGAAAAGAGTAGAAAAAAAAAGTCGTTCAACAAGTTGTTTAACGTTTAAAAAAAAGTTGTTAACCGTGTTCTAACAAAGTCAGTCGGCTAAAACACCATATAAAAAAGGTCGAAAGACAAAGAATTATTCAGAAGACCCACATTTACCTCAAACTTCAAATAGCATTTTAGTATCTGATAGTCGTCTTTATTATTCTTGCGAAAGTCATTGGGCGAATATCATAGATAACCAATGGTCTGCATGTGAGCAATGTTCTAATTGGTCATGCATTGATGTGTCGTTGATTATCGCCAATTATGGAATTTATTTGTAACTAATGTGAATAAAATAATATATTTTCTTTTTTAATTAAACAATTCATTTTTTTAATGGATTGAATAATTTATTTTAATGTTAGTACTAATTGTGTGTGTGTTTTTCTATATTTTATACGCATCCGGAGATGCGTATAAAATATAGAAAAACACACTCACGAGAGAGAGAGAGAGAGAGAGAGAGAGAGAAAGAGAGAGAGAGAGAGAAAGTAAAAATAGTATAAACAGTAAAAAAAGTACGGATCGGCGTTCCACACCGTTCCGGCTCTATGACATCACTGAAAATTATGCTAATTTCAAATATGATAATTCGAATAATTATTAAGTGTAGTTAAGGCAATGATATATATTAATTAAGGCAATGATATATATTAAATAATTATATATGTTAAGGCAATGATATATATTAAGGCAATGATATATATATAATGATATATATTAATGATATATATATCATTGTATATATATATCATTGAGTTAAGGGGATTTACAAATTACAAATGTAAGTCGCCTTAACTCGACGTTGTTAAGGCGATTTACAAATATTACCTAAAGCTATTATTCTGTAATATCAAATGTTTTTTGCTGAGAGTAAGCGAAAATGACAAATTTCAGAACCAAAATTTGTGCTAAAATTTTGTGCTACTCGGTGTATTTAAGGCGATTTACAAATTATAATTTGTAAGTCGTTTTTAATTTAAAATATAATTTGTAAATTTGTTTTGAACTACACCGAGTGTATAATTTGTAAATTTGTTTTTAACTACGCCTTAACTACACCGAGTAGCACACAATTTAAGCACAAATTTTGGTTCTGAAGTATGATTCAAACGAAGCTTTTCAAATCATTGGTGAAATGTATGATGTTAGTGATTTGACCTGTCAATCTCCAGAGTATAATGACAACTAAGTGTCAACCAAGAGAATAAGACTTTTTTTTATTGCTTACCATCCTCAGCAAGTTGGTCATCATCATTAGAAACAATTTCATCGTCTGAAGATTACGTTAGTTCCGAGTATGACAATAAATATTCATCAGAAAGAAAAAATGTAGATTTTCGCTAACTTAATAATTCAGGAACTAATGATTACGAAGCACCCTACACAACACTTGCTGATAACAACGTTACTGTTACTAATGAAAGAAAAATGCGTAAACACCGATCATTATCAACCAATATCAAGAAAAATAAGTAACTTGATACCAGTAAAAAGTCTGCTATTAATAATGACAACAAAAAATAGAAGAAAAAAAAAAGTAGGGGTCAATAGGGCTATTGTTCCATTTATAGCAACACTAGGACCAATGTTCTTAAATCAAATCATTTCTTTAAATTGTTTTTTAATAATGCATTACTACAAAAACTTGTCACTGAAACAAATAACAATCATTCAAGAAGGTGCTTTAATAAAAAAGATAGATTGAAATAGGTTGATGTTATGTCTAATAATATCAAAGCATTTACAGCAATATATTTTGCCATGAGAATATTAAAACTTTCTTATGATTACTTGAGACAAAAACAATGGCTTTTTGCTGTTTTATCTTTTAGTAGAGTAATGCCCCATTATTAATATAAATGTAGCTATTATACTAAAGTTGGTTTGCTTAAATACCTTTATATCATCAGCTTATATCACAGCTACCACATGAGTCGACTGTATCCATTTGATTGGCACTAATTTTTGCTATTTAATTACGATGATGAATTTGCAACTTGTTAATAAAAAAAAATCAACTAGGTGGTATAGACATCTTTTCTCACATACTTGAAATAGGCATTTATTATGCTTTTATATTTGAGTCTTGGTTTATTGACCATGGTGCCTGCAGTCATCTG